CTAATATTTAATAATCTCGACTTTGGTGAAATTATTATTCCGTTATGTAAATTTAACATTGCTGTAATATCGGGTTACATTGAGCGTGTGAGCATCGGAGCTTCTTCAAGGTTGAAAAATATCTCGAGGTAATTTAGCGAAATTGTGGAAGCAACAAATGGGGATGAAGGAAATGAGGGAAAGCTGGTTGTTACTGTTGAGTTAGTAACTTTCCTGACGATATGATTACAGATGTACGCTTGGAATTTTTTTAACAAGAAGATGGAAATTAAAGCTTTGCTTAGTTTACAAATCTCGCGAGCTGTCTTTTCTGTGCAAAAAACTATTAATTTCACCACAAAGGAGGCAAAATAAATAGATTTCTAACGAAGCTTTTTGAAAGAGTCACAAGGGTCACAAAACGTGCGTTTCCACCTGACTGGTCATCTATTATTGTTATTTCAAACACAGCATAGTGAAATCTCAGATCATTTTATTGAAAAAAAAAATGTTCTAAAATTTGGATTTTGAGTTGTGTATTAATAGTTTTTCTAATGAAGTGTACTGTGGTTACGCCCAATAAATTGTGTACCATTGTTTACAGTAGTTTACAGAAGTTTATTTTTGTATTAATTAGTCGAAAAATGTGTAGTTAATTATTTCGATGTCAATAGCACAAAATGAAGGTTTTTAGAGTTTACAACACGTCAGGCAAAATTTACAAACTTTATGCTCAACTCGATCTATGGAAAAAGTTCTTATTCAACATTAAGGCTATTTTGATAATAAAATAAAAAATAATATGTGTAATAATTAAATCTCGGATTATAAGCACGAGAAATTTGTAAAATATGCGCATATATATGCACGTATTTTCACAAAAATATGCTCTAATACATGCCAAATATGCATCGATATGCAAAATTTTTAACAATAAAAAATCAAGTTGGGATAAATTTTTATCCTTTAAATTGGTTTTGCCTTAGACAAACCATTTTAATAACCTAGTAATTAACCCTTTCTAAAAAATCTGTACTTTTCAGATCACAGTACGTTTTTTGCTTAAGGTATTTATTTTTTGAAAAAACTAATTGATGAATTATAAAGTTCTATAGAAATGTGATGTTTTATCAAAAATAAAGTTTTTCAAAATTTTTATTATTTTGTTTTTGAGTTCTACAAAAATATTTATTTTTTTAAATGGCAACCCAAAAAAAAACATTTTTTTCATGAAAGTCATAATCTAAGGGATTACAACTATCTACATACAACTATGTATACCGCAATTTAGACAACAAAAATCGAATAACTCAAAAACAAAACAAAATTTTGTTCTTAAAAAAAATAATTTATATTAGTTTAATTTATATTAATTATTATTTTTTGGAAACAAATGATTTAAAAAAGAACAGCTTTGTTCAATACTTTATATTCACCCAGTATAAAACGAATTTAAAAAGGAAACACTCAGCAGGGTACTAATTTTTTGAGTTTGGCGTACGAGACTGAAACTGTCCAATTTTTAACTTGAACTGAAATTTTTAATCGGAAATTAGTGATTTGAAGAAAATATGCACAAATGTGCAATATTACCTAAAATATACACCAAGTTGCCAAAATATGCATTTTTTATTTAGCTTATTTTAATCAAAAAACATTAGATATGCATAGAAAACTTACAATTTTGTTGAAATACCTCTTAATTACAAATATGCATTTTGCATATAATCCGAGCCTTTTGATTTTGATAAAGACTGAATAAAATAAAAAAGATAGTTGGAATTCTTCTTGGTAAAAGAAGTGTGTTGCCATTTGAAAAAATTATCAATTTCGCGGAACTTGAACTCAACAAAAAAAATTTTTTTGAGAAACGTCACATTTATAATGATAGTGTACTATGGATGCAATGCATCAATTAGTTTTTTCAGAAAATAAATAGTTTAAGCATATGTTTTTTACTATGTGAAATAAAATTGGGACTGATTTATGCAGGAATTCTTCGGCAAACTCTTAATGATTATTAGAATCGCTCTAAAAATTAAAAAAAAAAAAATTTGTACCTACAATAGCTATTTTTGCAACCAGTTAAGAAATTCCAAATTTTGAAATTTATGATCTGTAAATTGTCAAAAACTTTACCAACTTTGATAAATTCATAAAAAAATTGACCAGTTTAATAATTAAGTTTATATTAGTAAAACTAACTTCACAATAAATGAATAAATACTCATGTGCAATTTTAAAAGCTGTGATGATCATTAACGTTTACTGTTAAACAAGGAAACTAATAAAGAGATACCATTATACAAATAAAGTCAGAAAATAACAGATCAGTTCAGGAAATGTGTTACTTGAACGATTAAAATGTAATAAAGAAATAAGAAAGTCGATTTTATATCAAAAAAATTGGAATAAATAAATAAATAGTTATTTACTCGACGAGTAAATCGGAGTGAGTGTAAATGGGACGCTTTATTTCACGAGATGGTTATTAAACTACGAGTGGTATATAACGAAGACAACATTTTATTCTTCGAATTAGACTCAACAAGGCTTAAAATTTCTTTAAATCTGTTAAAAATAATCTGACGTTTCGTATTGGGAAATGCCAAACAGTTGTCAAAACTTTCTTATATAGGAGAAAAACCATAAATTTTGACAATGTCCAAGAATTAATAAATAAATATTAAGTCACACGTCAGTAATACAATGTTTGTAAATATTTTATTATACAGGTTGAATATAAAGTATGGAACCAAGCGGTTTTATTTTTAATCATTTGCCTCCAAAAAATAATAATTTATATAAATTAAAATAATATAAAAATGTGATCGTGTTTTCAGAACGAGATTTTGTTTTGTTTTTGAGTTATGCAATTTATGTAAAAAAATTTTTTTGAAAAAATTAAATAGAAAAATAAATAGTTTGTTTAAGCAAAAAACGTTTGGTTCCATACTTTTTATTCACCTGGTATATGTATAACATACGAGTAATTATATCGATCATGAATGTTATTATTGACTCTTGTCAACTTAATTTCAAAAATAATTTTGTTTTAATTATAGAATTTTAACGTAACTTTTATTTTCAAAGTTTTTATTTTTTTATGATTAGTTGCTGAAAATGAAACATTAGAAAGATTCTTTTTCAGTTGTGCAGACAATATGCAAAAATCACAATACAAGCTGCTTTGATAAAGTTTCTCAATTTTCACATGTGCAGACATAATGCATATTCCATATTTTTAGGAATCTAGAGGGATAGTCAAATAATTTTTTTTTGTGGGACTTGAAAAAAATCTTGGTTGAGGTCGATTGCCTTTTTTAATTGTATTTTTTTTATTTTTCTGTTCGAAAATAACATTACCGACAATTTTTTTAAATGGAACATTTTTTGTTTTTTTACACTGTTTATTTACGTTGACAAAAGGGCCACCTTTCATGAACCGGACTATACAGGGTGTACCGTTTTTATTGTTACAAATTTAAATAGGTGATAGGATATTCAATTCTAAGACAAAAGTTTCCTATAAACATGTAACGAAAAATGCTTGGTAAGGGAGCTACACCCCCTGAAACGGGGCTAATAGTTTTTTGCTAATATTTCAGAAACCATTTAAGATAAAAATTACAAAATTTGGTACAGATGATAACCTTTATACACCTAAACGATTCAAACATCAAATATCGAAATTTTTAATCAGGGGCTTACGAAACTGGGGTAGTTTAACGTAAAAAAATACCCTATTTATTTTGGTTTCTCGGTACTTTCAGTAACAAAATCTTAAGTTTGATAGTTTATCACAGAAAAATCTCTCTTGTGTGGATACGACTTATTGTTTTTGAATGAAATTAATTTAAAATTTATGTTACACACCAATACAACATTTAAATAAATCAGAGTTTACAGAATAATAAAAGCAAGAAATTTATATTTTTTAATAAACCTCAACTAATTAACATTACATTACAGTAACAATAATAACATTAATTAAATGAATTTGCCTAAATCTAAAGGAGTTATTCAAAGTGACCACCATTTTGGTCAATGCATAACTAAAGAAACTAAAGCCAAAATAGATAGGGTATTTTTTTATCCTAAACCCCACCAGTTTCGGACGCCTCTGATTAAAAATTTCGACATTTGATGTTTGAATTTGTTTAAGTGTATAAAGGTTATCATCTGTACCAAATTTTGTAATTTTATCTTAAATGGTTTCTGAAATATTAGCAAAAACCTATTAGCCCCCTTTCAGGGGGTGTAGCTCCCTTACCAAGCATTTTTCGATACATATTTATAGGAAACTTTTGTCTTAGAATTGAATATCCTATCACCTGTTTAAATTTGTAACAATTAAAACGGAACACCCTGTATTTTCTAAAAAATGATACATGAAAAACAAAAATATTTTAAAAAGCAAAATCTACTTTCATAAATGTCTCTAAAAAAATTGGATTTTTATTAATATTTTTGACTAACCTTGTACATTTTGCTCGTGAGTTTTTTATTTTCTTTTTGGTACCGATCAGTTTATTCAACATTTTATTGCTCTACATTTCACTAATCAATGCTTTGATGCGCTGCAATGGAATATCAGAAAATGAACGAAGCGGAACCAAATCGATGATATTTTGATCGTCTCAAATTATTAATTTCAAAGTAAATTCTATTAAGAGTGGTACGAGTCGTGGAATTCTTTTCATTTTCCTTTTTTGTACAAACATTCGTGACCTCGATAAGTCGGAATAAAAAGTTAATTAAGTATTACGTCTCTGTAGGAAGCGTCGATATTGATCAAGACGAAAAGGCCGTACTGAATTTAATATTCCACTTTTATCAAACAATTTGATACTTTTTAAACGAATTTTAATGATAATTAATTTACAATTTGAAAAAAAATCTTGCTTTTCTGCTGAAACCTTGTAGTTTATTCTCTTTGATACAAAGACTCATCCAATTTCTTCCCAGTTTCAAGGGGAGACGTATGAGTCACTTGTCTGATAATTGTTTTTCTCTTGCAGTTGGGATCGCAGCAGGTGCAACCTGCAGGTCATGGATGTTACCTTCACAAACGTGTTGGAGGGGGCGCGTCAATATTTCCAGGGCCTGCCAACGGCCACGAGTTCCACGGCGGGCCCCACATATCCGAATCAGTCCGACAACCTTATGCGCAATGACACCGAACAGCAAAATCAAGAAATGCCCCCGTCGTCGGCGGCCTATTGGCCCCAGCAGGAGGCCACTCGCGACACACCCCCATCGCGACCTTCCTACCATCAAGGGTCCTACCAGGAGCAACAGTTCCACCAATTCAATCGACCGCAATCGCGCGAAGCACCATCCAATCAGTACCATCAGTACCAGAGAGCACCCTCGGTGGTGACCACGCCGGTGTCACAAAACTACCATCAGTTGCAGAATGTTGGTCAAGGGTACTACCAACAACAACAAAGGACATACTACCAGATGCAAGCGAAAAGTCAGCAAAGTACCCAACAAAACCCATATTACAAGCATTTGTACACGCAAAGTACCAACCAGATGCAATACGGTACTGCCAAAGTCGAAAATAAGCAAGAACAAGTGATGAACCAGACGTCACAAGGGTATAGAACCACACATAATCTTCCACCCATCGCGTCACTATCTTTGATCAGTTACCATTCCAGTAGGAGTAACAGAGATGTGATAAGAACATCCAGTACCAAAACACGAACTTTGCCCACAAATTCAATGAATCAAATTTCTCAAACGCCCAAAAGTAGTACTTCCAACGTACAAAGGTACCAGGAAGAGTACCGAAATCAATACTCTAATAATCAAAACCGACTTCCACAAAACTATCAATACGGTACCACCACTACGACCCAAAATTATACACAAGTCATTATGACAACTTCCAATTACACGGCTCCAGTACCGACTCAGTCTTCCCAACAGTACTACCAACAAACTACTAAAATTCCCAATCAAAATGTCAATGGACGAGTGGTACCAGTCATCAAACAAAAACGCGAATCTCCATTAGATTTATCAGTGAAAACGGTACGAACTCCAGCTGATTCGACTCTTGATGATGCTGATCAAGACCGGAAGTACTATAATATAGCAACAACATCGATACCGTCACACAATTATCCGACTTATGACGTCTACGCCAACTCATTCCAAAGAAGTTTGTCCTCGAGACCTGCACAAATGCCAGCCAGTGCACCCAAAGTCGAATTCCATCCGAATTTTAACACACAATTGAACCAAATCAATAATTATCGCCGAAATCCGGTCATAAATAATACATCTAATACTAGTACTAATAGATATCCAGTGGTTAATAATCCATATGTTCAGGCAAAACTTCCAAGGGTTGATTTCCCACCTGCGGGTCATGGTCATAAAACCGCAGCTTTGTATCCAGTACCGACACATGACACCCAAAAGAAACGACCAGCGGATACAGCACCATCTATAATACCCAATAAAATGACCAAATTGGATACATGGAGACAAAGTATCGACCAACAAATCGAACAAAGACTATCATCGTATAAACAACAACAACAAGCTAAAAAAATGGTCAATGGGAACTACCAACAGACTCAGGAACGGCCCAAGGAAGTTTACACGTACCAAAACCGGCAATACCAGTACCACAACCAGACTTACGTACCATCAGCAACCGCCCATCAGTACCCTGGATACCAATACCCAACCCAACAACAACAAGTATATAATTTGCCTCAAAACAACCCATCGGTGTCCCAAGTTACTAATAAGAATAATCTAGGAGGTGCTGATAAAAGAGTACTCTCTTTATTGCGTAATAGTTTAGAGATCAAGGGTGCTAAGAAATTGGAACAGGAACAAATGAACCAACTCCACAAGTCCCGAATTGACATCCAGCATCCCTCCACTGACGTCACAGCTCCTCTCCAACCCAAACCCGGATTTATAAACCGTCACAACGTCTCTCCATTCACTCCTACCAACCTTCCAGACAATAACAACAGTATGTACAAACTCCATATCCCTAAAGCCATCGATTCGGTTAATTTCGAGTCGGATTCGAATAAATTCGAAGACAGTCAAGTTTTTATTAACAATCATGTGAACCCTAATGGAGATTTGGATGGGCTTGCAGCGCTCGTAGCAGCTCGAATTCGAACCAAAGCCGAATTGAAGCAAGTCTCGAATAACCACCACCACCACCACCAACGGGAAGGAACGGGGACTCCCCCTAAATTAAACAAAGAGAAACAAGCAATGCCTCCGCGACGGAGGTTGTTTAGTCGGAATGAAGACGATGGAGGAAGCAATGTTCCTCCGAGAGACAAGACTGGTCTTCGGAGTTCGTCCGAAACGTCTGTTTTTGATTTTCCTGATACGGATTCCGAGGGGGAAATGCCGGTTTTGGAAAGACAGACATTGGAGGATATGAGACGCGATCGACGATCGTCAACGAAAACAACCGAGGTGAAAGCCGAATCACCAAGACCGTTAACACCCGACGATATTTTCACCCAAGCGTGTGATAATTTTCTCGAACAATTGAAAAATGGAAGTGGGAAAAAAAGGGGACGCAGGAAAAAAATCGAAGCTGATGTTTTGGCAAAATTGGAGACTGTTACGAAAGAGAAGCCTTTGGATGAGGTGACAGTCAAGAAGGAGGACGATGACGATTCTGATGTTCCTCTGATTAATTGTAAAAAAATTGATAAAACACCAAACAAGCAATTGAGTGTATCTTTGAACGACTTAACCCAGTTGAAGGAGGAGAAATCTAACACTACTAAAGACGTCCCAGTTTTACCACGACCGGCTAAGAAACCCTCCTTTGGTGACGGCTCCCACTTCTACCCCGGGTGGGAGGAGGAGGTCTACCGGTACAAAAAATCCCTCCGGATGCCCCCAAGTCTCATCCACGTGACTCGTCCTCCTCAATACCACCGTTTATCGACCTCCCTTCCCGATTTGGACCCCTGTCCCATCTCCCCCATGACCAAAATCAAAACGGAGAATCTCGACAGTGACACCGAATCAAACCACAGTTTCAACCTCTTCAGCAAACACAACTACGATTCAGAAGGGAGTTCTTCGATTAAGAGTTGTCCAAACACCGCCAAAGAGAGCAGCTCGATTCTGGATAAGTTACTGGAACGTTGTGGAGGTCGCAAGAAACGTAAACACAAACGCAACGAAATTCATCCGAAAATCACACCCAAAGTGGAAAAAATCGAGCTTTTGCCAACTCCAGGTCGCGACGAAAGCGACTTCCGTAAAACCACTCTCGAGAATTTCAAAAACGTGTTTTTGAAGAGTTGTAAAAAGAGAATCAAACAACGAGTGACAATCAAGGAGGTGTTTGGGGAGGACCGACCTGCCTCGGCGCCCCCAGTCACTTGTGTCAATCATATTAAAATCAAAGAAGAGCCCGACGACGGCAGTTTGATCAAAAAGGAGAATGATACGAGACAAGTCCTCAAGAACAAATTATTGAACCGCAATCGGAAAGAGAATCTTCTGAAGAGTTTGGTGGATAAGAAGATCAAGTCGGAATTGTTGGATGAAGATGAGGAGGATGAGGATGGGGTTGAGGATAGTAAGTCGGAAACGCCGTCGATTGATGGCGATGAAGGAAGTTTGACGGGGAAGAAACGTAACAAGTTTAGAAACATAAGACGTAAATTTAGTTCAGGTTTTGATTACATACGTAAAAAGAAGAAGAGTGTGAAAAGGGATCAAGAGAATGAGATTAAACCGAAACGAAGAGGACAGTTTACGTCGAAAGGGAGTCCAGGATCGGTACAAGATATACAGAAAGAGATTAAGGGATGGGTTTTGAACAAAGGAATTGGGGAAACGATTCTTCACAGGGCGGCTCGGCTGGGATATACGGTAAGTGGTCTTTTATTTTATATTCTGATAATTGCTAAAAGTATTTTGGCGTAATTACAGTTTTTTTTATTTCATTTGATTTAATTTATCAATACGTTTTGAACACCTATGGAAAAAAACGTCATATACTTCTAGATTTGAGAAAGTTAACTGATTAATTGTTAATTGTCACATTTATTTTTTTTATAAAATTGTCAAATTGATTTATATATTCTCTTTTTTATATTAATGTACATCAAGGAGGTTGTAGAAGTCTAAATGCATCTTTAATTTAAAGGCCGATTCACACAAAAAGTGTCAGTAATGTCATTCAGAACAAATTTAATTACATTAATAATGTTAAAAAAAAATTATGTTTGCTACCCTATCTTAATTCCGTTGTTAATTTTACTTATTTTTGCCACACATTTATTTGAAAAAATAATTTTTAGGTAAGATTGAGGTTAGGATTGTTTGAATTTTTGCATGGTTGCCACCTTAAAATGATCCCTTTCAACGACTACTTCGATGCACATTAATATGAAAACGAGTGACTAATTAGATGTATTTTTTATTTGTTTTTTTTTTCCATGTTTTTGTTCTAAAGTTTTATTGAATCCGCTACATAAAAATAAATATGCGACTCTTGTACTTCATATTAAATGTTCACGACATTATGAGGCTGATATAAGTAGACATCAAATTTAAATGAAATAATTCAGAAATTTTTATGTGTAGATACATAAATTTTATTTAGTTTATTCCTCTTTTTAAAATTTAAGCTTCTTGTTATCTCTCCATCTTCTTTATGACTAAGGGTAAAATGAAATGAGTTGAATGAACTTGAAACACCGATGCTCATTATTTTATTTTTTTAATCAATAACTCATTCTTAATTTTAGTACATTTTTTTAGTAGCAAATTTATTTTAAAAGGCTACTCGTTTCATTTTTTTTTATTTTTTGTAGTTACTGATAACGGGTGTTTATTTAAATTTGGTGTCATAGTTGGCGGTGGTGTGTTGTGAACGGACCACAATTTTTTTCATGCGAAATTTAAAAAAATATCTTTACAATGAGTGTTTGTTTCAAAAGCAAATCGCCAACAATGTCATTGTAAGAAAAAAAGTTTAAATATTTTTTTTATTTTTATTTGTTAAAGAGTTACAGATTAGTAACGAATACAAGTTGGTGGTGATAAATTAAAGTCAATGATATTTATGTTTCATAAATTTACTTTTTTTTAATTGATTTTAATTTGAATTTTTAATTTAATTTAATTTAAATTTAATTGCTTACTTTCAAGTCTCATTTTATTGATATTATTTGACATAAGCATAAACGAAAACGATTCATTTATGAAATAAAAAACTTTAATTGGAAAAAATAAGACTTAAGTAAAAATATTACTACAAAAATAACTCAAAAATACTAAGTACTTGTTTTATAAATGTCATCGTTTTTTACTTATCACGAACAATTTGTACAAAATTTATTGTTACTCTTTGCAAACTGTAACTCTTTATCGAATGAAGATAGAAAAAAA